ATATTTCGAGTTGTAGAATAAGAAGTTTCTTAGAAGCTTTTATAGGAAATTATTTCGAGAATATTTTTAAAAGCTTTTATAAGAAAAAAATTCGAGAATCAGAAGTTTTTTTTTTTTGGAAGCTTTTATAGGAATTCCAATACGAGGTATGAAGTCTAACCGAGCATGTCGATCATCAGGAAATTCCAATTGATCAGCAGAAAGAAAACGAATCAGGAAATCATAAACTGAGAAATTCAGAAGAGCACCCAATGAACAATAGAAAGAAATCGAATCAAGAAATCGTGAAGTGAGATCATTCTGGTTATCCACCCTTATAGAATCAATCATCAGTACACGTGAATCAGGAAATCATGGTTATGAGCAGGGGGAAGCTGCCCTCCTTCCTTTCTTGCAGCCGTGTGACTTCATCAAAATCCCGTAAGAAGAAAAACCCTTTGTCTCCCCTTCATCCACCCTCACTCAAACCCAACCCCTTCACCTTCGGGAGGGAAGAACAAAACTCCCTCCATCTACCTGCCCTACCAGCCTCAAGGGCTTGCCATAACACCAACACAGGCAAACGAAGGTACCAATCGGCCATCCCCCTAAACTTCTCCAACATCGGGATGGTGGGGCAACATCTCGTTGAGCCTGCCAACGAGCTACCCCAGGGAGTTCAAGCTTACCGCAGAAACTTGATTCCACCGCTTCGCAGGGCAGATGAAAGTAGACAGAGGAGACCATGGATCCGAGGCCGTCACCATGGATCCGAGGCCGTCATCTCCAGCCTCTCTCATTGTGGCGCCTTAATCAGCAAACACGTGCAGAAAGGGAAAGAAAGGATGTCGAAAAGAGAAGGGTCCACACGTTCGACTTCCATGGCGCGCCCTAAAACTGTGATATCTCGTGATCCGCTGGACCGTTCGGTCTGAAATTTGGACCACCTCAGCTCCTTAGCGTAGACCACCGGTGGTCCAAATTTCAGCTCAGGGCGCGCGCCCAATCGCGCGCAATCCTTGAGCGCGCGCGCACTATTTTCCTTGCTGCATGATGTTACCCGACGCGCGCGGCTCCTCTCCGTGGTGACCTTGATTGATGCTGCCGGGGCGCAGCGCTCCCGGTAGCGCTGCGCCCCCGTCGGATTGTTAGGGAAGCATACTTTTGTTCTCTTTTTGTGATCATCCAAGTAGTAATGGAATATCCGATTCATAGCGTGCTGAAAGGTGCCAGGAGCATTGCAAAGGCCGAAAGGCATCACCAAAAACTCGTACAGACCGTACCTGGTCTGAAAAGCGGTTTTGTGTTGATCCTCGGGCCGGATTGCAGTCTGAAGGTACCCAGACTTCAGATTTATTTTACTGAAGTACCGACACCCTTGCACTCTATCTAGCAAATCGTCGATGCGCGGTAGGGGTTCTCTGTTCGTTACAGTGATGGCATTGAGGCCCCTATAGTCAATGCACATCCTAAGAGTACCCTCCTTCTTCTTAGGCACCAATAGAACTGGAGACCCATAATGAGAGACACTCGACCGGATCCAACCCTTCTCTACGAGTTCCTTGATTTGACGGCGAAACTCATCAAGCTCGCTTGGAGACATCCGATAGATCCTACCCTTCGGAATACTAGACCCTGGGATAATCTCTATCGGGTGGACGACCTCCCTCTCAACAACCCCTGTTGGCTCTTCAAATAGATCAGGGTACTTAGCAACTACTCCCTCTATCTCCGGCGGCATTTTCACCGGCTCGCCTGCAGCAGAGACGTAGACTAGATACATACCCTCCTCCTGATTTTGCTTATAATAATTGTAGAACGCGGCCGCACATATGCACCTATAGGACTCAATCAGACTACTAGCTTTGAACTTATGTAATTTGGCGGTCCCTCCACCTGGCAAGTTGTGTTTGACCACTTTTCGGTCCCAGTCAAACTGGGGCTGTGCTACAGAGAGGTAGTACATACCTAGTAACATGTCCATTGGGAGCTCGTCACTCACTAGGAACGAGACACGATGTTTGAAGTCCCCTCCCGCGTACGGGAAACGATACTCTACATCTTGGAGGTAGTCGTTAGCTACCATGCGCTGTTTGTCGGCACATGTCGACTCCACAGGCCGACTCAGGCGCTGCACTCGCCCCTGTAAGCGCAGTCTCTCAACGCACGCGCGACTAATAAAGTTCCGCGTCGAGCAAGTGTCATAATAGGCCCCGGCCTTGCGGCCGCCAATGACTACCTCACTAACGAACATCTCACCCTTCGGGGCTTTGACTAGTGTCGTCCAAGAAGCTAGCGGGTCTGATCTAGACCACTCCACCTCTTGCTCCTCTAAAGACTCGAACACATTCATCGAACAGAGTCTCGATGGGTCTGAATGTGTTTGCGGGACGACGCTGGAGTCAGTAGCTTGGGCCATCTCTCGAGATGGTGAGGGTGTCTCCACCACCTCGACCCTAGCAGGAACAACTACTATTCCTACTGGCCCGACGTGTTTCCCGGAGCAGTGCCCGAAGTACTAGCAACATTGCTACCAACGGGATGAGAGGATCTCAGCACTTGCCCTATCGTAGGCGGAATCTTTTCCGTCACTTTCTTGTTGCGACATTTGAATTGGATGTGGCCATATTGACCACAACGAATACAGGCCTGTCGTGAGTAACGGTCTCTCCACACGTCCTCAGTAAGACCCGCTTTCTCCCATGGAGGAGCATTGGGGTCAACTTGACTCCTAGATCGGGAGCCTCCGCGGTGT